GGCAAAGCGTGTGGCTTGAGTCAGTGCCTGTGGTGGCGATTGGAGATGCAAGTACAGGCACGCTATTCAAGAGTAACGAAATCGAGAGTGGCAAGCTGGAAGCTAGTATCAAGATCCTTGGACGGCCTGCTGGGCATGCGTATAGTGTAGAGCTCGAAGCTAGCCTAGCAGGCGTATCCGTCAGCAAGACAGGGAAGATTGACTTGCCACGGGACTCAGACACCGCGTCACTGAATACCAACATGCGACTATCTGAATCACAGGCTTCACAACTACCGGCAAGCCTTACATCTACCGCTCCACTTTCCGACCCGACAGCATGGCTCAACAACCTAGCCCTCTGGTCTCCGGAGCACCCAACACTCTACGACCTTACCATCCGTTTGTACGACAGCGAAGACAAGATCATTGATAAAGTCCACACAACAACTGGCATGCGCTCCCTGCACTGGGACAACTCTACCTTCCGCCTTAACAACCGCCCCTATTTCCAAGCGCTCTTCCTCGACCAAGGCTATTGGCCTGAAACTTTCATGACACCTCCATCTTCCGACGCACTGAAGCTAGATATCGAATTGACCAAGAAGATGGGCTTTAATGGGTGCCGCAAGCACCAAAAAGTCGAAGACCCATTGTTCCACTACTGGGCCGATCGCCTTGGCTTGTTGGTCTGGGGCGAGATGGCAAACGCATACGCATTCTCCGAAGCCTATGTAGAGCGCATGGATCAAGAATGGCGGGAAGCGGTCCTGCGGGATCGCAACCACCCTTGTGTAGTCGCTTGGACGCCAGTCAACGAGTCGTGGGCGTACACTGATCTGCATACAAGCAAGCAGCAGAGGGATCACATCAGGAGTCTGTACTATGCGACCAAGGTGCTGGACTCGACGAGACCCGTCAACGACAACTGTGGCTGGGAGCATGTCATGACGGATCTGACTACGTTTCACGATTACGCTGATGCGGATGAGCTTACCAAGACTTGCTCGACCTTGGAGGGTATCATGAAGAAGCAATCAAATCGACCAACGTTCCTTGCACCCATTGAAAGCCTTTGCGATCCGGGGTCCAAACACACCCCTGGTGCACCAGTTATATGCACAGAGTTTGGTGGAGTCAATATCGCGCGAGCGGCTGCGAGTGGAGAAGAGGATAGGACAAGGGACTGGGGCTACACCACTGCTACTGACCCCAAGGACCTGCTCAAGCGCATCGAAAAGATGATGACAGGAATCGTTGATGGAGGGCAATGCTGTGGATTTGTGTACACACAGCTTACAGACATTGAGCAAGAGGTCAATGGAGTGTACACTCCCGACCGCAAAGAGAAGTTGGATGCTACAGAAGTGAAGAAAGTGGTTGAACGCGTCATGGAGAAGTATGCGCAAATGCACAAGTGATTGCAAAGATTAGGTGACCATGTAGATACATGTGGGAATTCACTCAGTTGAAGACAAATAATCATTACGTAACATCGTTTCTTTTACAGACACTCTTGTGCCTTCGTGCTATCTATACATGATTTCGTTTTCATCCAAGACATAGTCTCGACTGTGCAATTGTTGGCAAACCATTCATGACCGGCATGTGTCTTGCAAGGTCATACTGGCGTACGACAATCGATCGATAATGCTCTGCAATGCGCATGATCCACCTGGTAACGCAGAATAACAAGACGCTGAGGTCGCTAACGAGTCGTGCGAAATGAAAAGTCCAAGTGACAGGAAACGGGTAGTCTCCAATATACAGGGCTCCGGAATGCGCGACAAAAAGGAAGGAAAGGGGTATCGTCCGTAGGAAAGCCATAAAACTCCGCCCATCCTGCTACTGATGCATGTCAAACGACTCAACCACCATATCGTACACCACTTCTCAAGTACCGCGCACTCTCTTCCTCAAGACGACGTGGCTGCTGGTCTTCTCGGAAGGGAATATAGTCATGGTTTGGAGGAGCGCGTCTCTCATACACCCTGTTGTCAGGCATGTAAGCACGAGATGGCTGAACAGTGGGAACATCATACTGTGCACCCCTCATCTCATGCACAGGCATTCGATAAGGTGGTCCAGGAGCATATGCATGTCCACAAGGATCAGCCGCCGCAAATGAGCGTGAAGGTACATCGTAGCCTCTGCCGCCATTAGTAGGCATATGGTAAGAACTGGTGGTTAGATCAACAACTTGCTCCCTGGGCGGTGCCCTTAGCCCATTGCTGGGCGCCATACGCTTGCTCGAATGAAACTCCGCTGGGCCATCATAGTAGTTCAGAGAGTGCACTTCCTCACGATATACAGGCCTTAAGCGCTTGGTATATGGTTCGGCATGATGCTCGCTGCCATTTGCAAAAGAAGGGAGCGCTTTTCGCTTTGGTGACGGCACCTCATTGTATGGCCTGGCGGCATTCGCATTGTGGTGTCGGACAGGGTGCTGAGACGCCACAACACGATGTGGCGATGTCAAATCAACTGTTTCAGGTTCAACAGAAGGCAGCACAACATCTTGGTCCGACGGGCGCCTTATGTGCGCTGGTGGTCTGTCAAAGGCACTGTGACGAGGTGATGGAGGCTGAACATAACCTTCTTGCACGCGGCGCGGCGCTGCGTGCATGGGAGGATCATACTGTGACCTTGGAGCACCACGAGTTTCTTTGATAGGTTGGAGCTAAGTGTGTTAGCTTGGGAAAAGGATGGAAATTGGGATACCATTGTCTCCTGCTTGTGAAGCTTGACTTTCGAACACTCACTTGGTACAGTTGGCCGTTGATCTCACGGACGATCGGCTGCGCACTTTTCAGGTTCTGACCAGTCTCGGCTGGTCTCGCTCGTCTACAGTTGTGAGTACGGATTCGGGTGTTAGCTGTCATCTGCACTTACGGGTCGATGGTCCTTGTTCGAGCTGGTTGGAAAGGCTGCTGCGACTGGGAATGCAAAGGGCCAGACGAACCAGCAGCCTGTGGAGGTGGAGGGTAGCGCGAAAGGACAATGGTTCTCCTTGGTGCTCGCCTCATATCATGTGCATCCACACGCGGGTAGTTAGCATGTGACTCGGGCTGTAAATCTCGCGCAGTAGCACGGCTGGATACAATTTCCATGCTTTGCTCACGCTCGTCGGGCGTAGACATAGACTCATCGCTGCTTGCATCGTCGTCATCATCATCAAGAACAATGACTTCGCGAAAGGTTTCTTCAAGCTCGTCGCTCTGCTTGCCATCTTCGTCTCGCCACTCTTTGAGTTTTGCAAGAGAAACCTTCTCGACCTGGCTGCGGGCTTCCGACCAGCCATCGGTCTTGAGAAGCTTATCATAGTCTGTATATGTGTGACGGATGTGCGCTACGACGGCGAGTTGCACTCTACGAGCCAACGAAAGTTCCTTGGCATTACCTACCCGGTTTGTCCCTTCCTCGAATGCATGCGAAACAATGGCTTGCAGATCCGCCTCTGGAATCTTGGGAAACATCTCTCGAACGGCGTTATGAATATAACCCTTGGTCTCCTTTTCAGTAGCGGGATGGCCGTGCTGTACTTGTCGCGAAGAATAGTCTTCAAACTCTTGGGCAATCCAGTTAGTCCTCTCGCCTTCTTTATCTTTTCGCAGACCGCGTCTCTCATCATAGATGTACCCGAACTTGCTGCATGCAAGCTCGATGATGTGGATAGGAAAATGGTGTCCGACTCGATGGACGTGATGGGATAACTTCTCGGGGTCGGAGTGGGTTTTGTTCTTCGGCTTGGCCTGCGAGGTTGTTAGTAAACGGCCAGTTGGCTTAAGGGAAGCGAGACACTCACAGAGACAACATGCACATCAAGGTTGCGCTGTCGACACTGTTCTTTGCACCACTCGGTGAACTCTGGGTGACCGGCTGGGATGAAGCCGAAGCCAGTGGGGGCGTTGGACGCGTATGTTAGCTATTCTACAGTTAGTGGTGTTGCAGGACGATTGAACCGTGTCGTCGACGGACAATGGAATGTAGCTTTTTCTTCTCTTGTGTTACCGCCTCTAATAAGATCTTGTAGGGCTTCTTCTTCTTGACAGCGGCGCGCGACTGGTCAAGTGTACCGCTGCGCTGCGGCGCCTGTTGCGGACGCGCATGATATACTCTGGTCATGGCGGTGGTTTTCAAATGATTTGCATAGATCCCACAGCGGATCAGGGCAATGTGGCGCTACTGGATGACGGAGCACCCTATGTGGCCTTGATGCGGCGTGATTAGTGATTAATACGGCAAGCGTAGCAGTCACGATGGCGTGCAATTGTCCAGAACGAATCCAGATTGCGTGTCTACAAACCCCAGTCGATGCAGAGGCACAGGCGGAGTGTTGGGTTGTACGTGTTGGTGAGTGAGGAGAGTGGGCGAGGTTGGAACATGGGCGGCGGTAATCAACGCCGGCGATACCTTTCTCCGGCACCGCATGATCCGAGGCTTCAGACTGGTCGCAATCGTCATACTCGAACATGTCGCAACAAGCAATCGTTCACGCGTATAGACACCTATACCGGCATAGTCTGAGGGCCATCCAGTTCTCGAAGCCGGCTCGGTATACATTGCGCGACCGCATTCGCTTAGCCTTTCGCAAGGGGTCCGCTGCCGACTATGAGCCACAGAGAATCCGCAACACGCTCGAATTCCTGCAGTATGCGACCAAAGAGAGTGGGCTGGAACACAAGATAGTGAAAAACCTGATGTTCGTATGGCATGTACAAGACACCGGAGGTCGCTTAAAGCATATCCCAAAAAACCTGTACGCAGCCAGCCTGTTCTGCTCCATCTTCGATGCCGCATAGCTGACGCTTCCCAGAACGCGCGACGAGATCGAGATCAAGACCACCGCGTACGACACTTTCAACCACAACATCCGCATGCTAAACGAGGGCATGGGACTATGCCTTCCAGCCATGACTGTTCGCGATCCCAGTTGAGGCGACCCCACTAGGCTGAGATCATCCCGATACAGCCATTGTCGCACCCCGTGGTATGCGGGACACACAGATACGACAAGGCGCTTACATGAAGTCATCGAGGAAGTTTTCATCGCGGTTCTCGTTGGTGTTCTCCTCCAGATTCTCCTCTGTCATGACATCGTCGTAGGCATGATCTCTCCGCCATGCGAGCTCCTTGCGCTCCTTGGCTATACGGGCCTCCTCCTTACGCTACATTCCGTTAGTTTCGGTTTCGTACCGTTTTTTTGAGGCAACTGAGCGAGGGATGACCGATGAGTATGGGTGACGGGGGGTATAGTGCGTCAGAGATTGTGTATGACATGACAGACCATGAGAGTAAAAAGACGTATAAAAGCTTACGTGACAAAAAGAAACGTAAAGTAGAATGGTGGAAAAAGCTTGAGAGCATACATACCTTGGCCTGCAGAGCACCCTGGTCTCGTTTCCTCAACTCAGCCCGCCTTGCTTCTCGCTCTTCTCTCAGATCGGGGAATTTTTCAACTTTGGTCTTGTTGAGACGGTTGACAATAGGATTCTCTCGCTGCTCCACGTGTATGCGCTTAACCTGATCTGATGTCAGTATGCTGAGATTCAAGTAGTCACCAAGCCAAAAAACATTATACAAATGTTGGACGTGCCTACCTTTCGCTGATCCTTGAACCCAACCTGGCCTACAGCCATGCTGCCATCCTTCTTCAGGTTGCTCCAAGGCGTATATACAATCGTGACGTTATCTTTCTTGTTACCCTCAATACTGTTGGCCTTGGTCAGTTGGGCGCAGTCCACCAGCAGCTCTTTAGTCATCTTCTCCCAATCTTCGCCCTCGGGTAATCGGACGTAGATATGTGCTGATGACAGGTTGTCTGCGTGGAACCAGACATCCTCATCCCAGCCGTATTTGATAAGCTCTTCATCTGTTCACCCAGTTAGTATGTGGAGCTGCAGCTGTTTGACCCTTTGAAAGTGCAACAGCGGACCGAAATGCACGTACTCTCAACCTTGTCCTTGCCCACGTAGATGAAGGCAGATGGGGACACAGTGTTGGAAGAGAAATAGTACACCATCGTGCTAAGAGTATGTTTCTAGATGTCGAGGGCCAGTGTCAAATAGCAAGTCAGAGAGTTGCTAGGGTCGTGAATTTAGCAAGCACGTGTGGGGTCTAGCGGGGTATTCATAGGTAATTGAGCCGCGCTCCAGCCTCAGGATCCAAAGCTCAAAGCATGCAACATATCACAGTGGCGAGACCTCTTGGGAGTAGGTGTTCGTAATGGAGTTAATTTCAAGCCTCTTGGCTTTTATTCGGTCGTGAAATCGTACAGTATATACATTAGAGTTGCAGCTTCTTTCAACACCTACTGCGCGCCTCTCTTGTTCAGAAGCGCATCCTGACTCTCTTCTTCTTCACCCGGTGCAGCCTCTACATTATGGTCGCCAGCACCATGCTTCAAGCTATCCATGGGATTATCCTGTCGGGCGTGCTTCGCATATTGGTCGTGACCCTTTGCTCTAGGGTCAAAGTTTGCGTCGTCTAGGTTCTTCTTCTCCACACTTGATGGCAACTGGTCACCAGTGCCGGTCATGACCTCGCCTGTCTGTCCGTGGTCGTTGACACTGCGTGGGATATCGAACGCATTATCCGCTGCGTGTGCGATATTTGTATGGGTCTGATCTGGGTGAGAAGAAGGTGACACCTGAACTCCTATCAGTACACAGGCCTTACACTGACATATAGTCCGCGAAACAGGTGTAAAAGCTTACCACGTTCATCTTTCCAGCGTCACCAGGAATCGAAGTGCCCTTTGCGGCCATGTCCTCAAGACGGCCTCCTTGGTGCGGGTCTGATGCCATAATGTCTGATCTGAGTTGTAATCGACGAGACTAGTTAGAGGAACGTAAATGCTATGAAGCTTGAAGTCGTTCAAGAGGTCAAATGAAGCTGCGTGTAGCTATAAAAGATCCTACAACAAGCACGCGAGCTTCCATTTTGTGGCTCTTCTATTGCGCCTGAGCACCAGTGAACCGTCTGCGTCATGATGATGCTGATGTCACAACTATGTTTTGGTGTCAAAGAGACGAGGATTCCGACTTTCCGATAGAGTACCTGAGGGGCAGAGACGCCAAGAAAATCACGTGCGGAACTCACGTGCGGAAAGCGCGTGTGGAGACGCGACTTTCACCACACAATCTCGCAGCGACGTAAACAAACAGACAACTCCTAAAGTTATACGCCTGTGCAATCAAAAAGGCCAAGCATCATATCGAACACCAAAGATGCCAGCAGCCGAGCAATCATCAGCTGACGCCCGTCGGAAGGCCGCTCGTGAAGTCATCGATATTCTTCATGAAATCGCAACATTGCTAGTACGAAACACTGCGCCTGAAGGAAGCGCCTGATACCTGACATTAGCCCTAGAATACTCATCTTGATCGCCAGCAGTTGTCATACTGCGTATCGCTCATCGAAAACGGCGCGAACCCGGAGGCATTAGCGGTACGTACCCAGTACGGCACAGCAAGGTGTAACAGCAGATCGCCTCGCGCGCGGTTCGCACTGTTGCGTTGAAGTCGCGGCCTGCTCTGCGCGACCGCCAAATATACTGACTGTGGCACAGAAAGTCATACTGCAGTTGCGCGAGGAGTATCCAGCGAGTTCAGTTGACGGTGATACAGAGGCTGGTGCAGCCGCGCGTTGAGCCCGAGCAGGTTCGGAGTCCGAAACTGTTCCTGTGCAGCTTTACACGGGCGGTACCGTGCAACCTGTTGCGCAGCTTCACATGCATTTGCAGGCCGATGAAGGAGCGAACAGGAGCAGTCAATCAATAGTGCCTATGGTATCATTTGTCTTGTGTTGAGCTTGGGCCGTTATCATCGTAGCAGCCAACCTACCCAGACATTGGCGCTGGGCTAAGCCATCGTCTCCGGGTCCGCTTGCATGCATCATGCAACCTTGACGGAAAGCCTGGAAAGCCTAATTTCCCCTTGTACATGGAGGGGCAGTAGCGAGCAACGCGGGGCAAATCTACCAACGAACCGGAATCTGACGCCAAGGTGCTGATATCGAAAGGTTATGCACCGTTATCAGTACATGCGGCCTGTTTTCTCACTTGTTCGTGGATCGAGAGGGATGCCGCGATAAGGACAGCCCGGATTACAACCACAAGGTTTGTGGAGGTCGCGCGGAACAGTCGGGTATGCAATGCATATCAGTGAATATTAATCTATTCAGCTTCAGGCGGGACGCAAGTCACCAGGGCAGCGGAGTTGAGCGTTATGCAACTAGTTCTGCTAGATATCGTCATTGTATTCTATCAACAAAGGGCCGTTGTATCGTCTATTATGACTCTGATGTATGGTCTGTATGGTGATGATGACGGGGACTCGATGCCGAAATAGGAACATGAAAAAGCAAGTACAGAAAACTTGATGCTAGCAACGATAACGATCGTTCGGGGTATCATCAACGAGAGGAATGGGGTATCTTCCAAAAGAAACTCGTCGCCGCGATAAAGTGAAGACAGAACACCACCTGCTGTCCTAAACAAAATGAAATGTGTAGCATGTGTCTACCTGCTGCCCCAGGTGGGAGAGCTTTGACGCTGGCGAAAGTTGCCCTTCGCATCTGCAACTTTTTGTAGGGCCTTCTCAGCTTTGGCATCTTGTTTGTTGATGAAGCCATTAAAGACGGCAGGGAGAACGCGCTTGGAGTCTGGTGTACTGTTAGCAGTGGCCTGGGACTATGAGTAGGTGTGCACTTACTGGCATGGTCAGCATCGAAGATAATGCCATCTGCACCTCGCTCTCCCGCAACCTTGACAGCTTCCTCCAGAAGACCTTCGCCAACGCCCTTGCCGCGATACTTCAACTGTACAGTCCAAGCGCGCACAACGGCCTTGCCCCTCCTTCTCCGGCCACGTTTCTTTGCGGCATCATTATCGGCCCAACCCAATACCAAGGATCCAATGACGTCCTCACCCCACTTCACTACGATGAGCCTGTCATCGCCCAGCCACTCCATGTTGATTTCCTCGGCCATGCCAATGTAACCACCAGTCATCCATCGAATAAAGATAAGGAAGGTCATCGAGATACCTCCAATGGTCGTGAGAAGCATCAGTTTGTCCTCGTACCAGCGTAGCGTGAGTTGAGCCGCAATGGCGACAATAGCGAAGTAGGCGGCTAGCGAGATGGGGTGAAACAGCATGACCTTGCTCGCGACCTGACGTTGTTGTGCGACCGAATCTGCTACCAAGCGCAAGCCCTCAATGCGATCATCCTCTGTCTCGGCAGTGTAGGTGGAGAGTTGTGGCAGCTCGTCTGTGGGTGGCTTAGCCGGTGCGTTTGCTTCGGCCGACGACATGGCTTGAGACTCGGCAGGCGAAGGGTACGGGTTGTACTGCGCGGGTAATGTTGAGTAGGATAGCGACGTGGAAGGAACCTCTTGGCAGAAGTTGTTCAATCGAAACGACGTAGGTGTTGGCAACGGCGAGGGCAGATCAGGGTCAATTCTGAGGTTTGCGCTCAGCGACGTTAAGAATGCTGTCGTGCGCGTGTTAGCTCGTATTCGTACCCAGGTATCTCGCGCGTCTATGTTGCTGCATGGTTGACATCACAACCCCAGTCGCGGCAACCGAGCACACGACCATCAACACTCCCGGAGAAAATAAAATAAACCCAAACATACCAGCACTTGTCCTAAATCCTGGTAAAGACGGTATGGCAGGAATGGCCTTTTCAATTCCGGAGTAATGGTTTACAACAACCGTATCCTGACCCAAAAAGTGTTGTCTTGGAAAGGCATGGGGACCAGGCGGGACCTTGAGATGACTTGGGGGAAGTTGGCGACGCATCCTTCTTATAAAATAACCCGAGGCTCAATGCTTTCCGAAATTCGATTACATATACAAGCGTATGTCAAACACGTGGGCGGACCAGCCAGGAAAGGGAAGACAGAGCAATTAAATGAAGTAAGGTGGGAAGCAAGTCGGGGACTGTGGTACGTAGATGTGGAAAGGTTAGAGGCTAGAAGCAGAGCCAGACAACCGCAAAAAATCCAGATCGCGAACAAGTGGGAAAACGTGCGTTAAAGTATTGGCTTACAAGCCAAGACAACTATAACACAGATCCTTTCACTACACGATTTTCCCGCGTCAACGGGGTCTTCTTTCGCACGAAGCGGGTCCAACACAAACGCACAAGCCATGTCATGGTACGTTCCGTGCATTCCTTGGTTGCGTACGTGCGGGTGGGAGCGAAGCGCAGGAGTCGAGGCGCTGCCCGGCTGCGACGACGATCTTCACAGGCCCACCCTGAGCTCACTCTTGGACCCCTTGTCTGCGCTGCTTCAGCTGCAAAGACAAGTGCCTGCGACGGCTATTGGCTGGGGGCTGCAATAGAGATAAGACGCTTGAGGGCCAACAACAGCTCTGCATCCAAACAGATCTGGATCATGGGATGCATTCATCGGCGAGAGCGGTGTGGCGGGGGTTGGATATGGATAGTCTGCGGATCCGTGTTGCTGCGCGTGTGAGTCTTTGTGTTGGTTTTTGATGGAGGTGTGGTTGTTTCTATTTTTCTAGCTCGAGCTTGTACAAGCGGCCATCCAGAAAACGGCAGACATGTAAGACACCGCCTCTGCGAAGAAGCTTGTTCTTTTTGTGTGGTCGCACGCCCAAAAGAGATACACCATCTTTTGTTTTCATGGCACGTCGCTACAGGCCACGGCGAACATCTCTAGGGTGCGCTTTTGGCAAATACGATAGTCGTTGGAGCTAATGTGCTTTTTCGGACCATGCTTATTCCAATTCATGTAGTACTATCCTCTCGCCCTAGATCATATCTACCATCTGCAATTCGCTTGACTTGATACTTAACATCTGTCATGATGACAGCCGTCACCCCATCTTCGTCATGCGACTCCCGCGCCTGGGCTCGCTTGCGCTTACCCTTCACAACCCCTCCAACCCGCTCTTGGCCACTCGTGCATCAATCTCAAACGCCGCCCTCCGCGTTAAAGCGGACAGGCTGAGACTGCGCAGGCATGCGTGTTGTATTACCGTAGTTCGTTTCACGTTCGTTTGCCCAGGCCTTGCATAGCACCCCCTGCTTTCGATTGACGATACAAATGGACCCACTTTGCTTGCTTGCGCGTTGCGTGCTGGACGCCGAACGGGCGTTTGTCAAGATCGAGTATCGTGATACAGGCGTGGGATGCGCACGTTGTCTACACTAAAGGCGTGCTTTCTGCATATCTCGTCTCTTCACAAACACCACCCACTCACCAGCAGAATGCCAGCCTCCCCGGTCCACTACTGGCAAGTATCGCGACTTAGTGCGATAAGCGCTTCCTCGTGATGAGGTCTCGAGGTGTTACCAACATACACCTCTCCAACCAACAGCCTTCAACTCCACAATTCAGCTTTCAGAATCCGGCCTAGATCCCTCTACAAAACTCCCGCATATCGCGCATCATATTCTACCTGCCAGCCAACCACATTGTATACATTATCCTTCGGTCCCCGGCTTGGCCTAACAATGCTGCGATCTGACGTGTGTGCTCTCCACATCTGGTCATCTACTCCACATCAGTCATCCAGTTGCAGCCTCAGATCACTTCGCCTGAGGCATTGCATGCATGCGTTGCGTAAACACGCGTCGCCTTCTCCACAGGGTAAGAGTAAGCCCGTTGGACAATGGAGAACAAAGGCTTGTTTGACGTTAACGTGCGGACGATCCTACAGACAGCGTGAACCGTGTGTTCGAAACGAGCAACGGGCGATGCGCACGTTTCGGGCTCGTCAGGTAAGTTGTACTTGTTTCGAAGTGTCAGGATCACCGCATGATAGGCGAAA